ATATATATATATATATATATATATATATATATATATATATATATATATATATGATATATGATATATATATGATATATGATATATATATGATATATGATATATATATGATATATGATATATGATATATATATGATATATATAGCACATAACTTCTAATAAAATATTCACAGTCAAATAATTCATTCAGTATAGTTATCAACAATGAATTGGTTCAATAAGTTAGAGTGAGAACTAGAGTGAAAGTATATTTTGTCTCGCTCTAACTTATTGCACCAGTTCAGCAGCGCAGCTACAAAGAACAAACTATATTCATATCGTGTTTCCGAACACCTAATCTGAGCCGTAGCGCCTCTGGCGATAAATACGTCAACCTGGACATTTTCTCAGACGACGAATTCCTTAATCGTAAAACTTAGCGATTTCGGACTTTAAGCTAAAATATTTCAGGTTCTAGAAAACGTAGAGCAAAAGTAAAGACAGTTTTATCAACTAACATAAACCCAAGGAATCGATTGAGCCTATCTAGAATCTCATCGGTTCAACCGTTATGATCAAACAAGAAATCTGGTGTGTATTCAACTAGTGGCGTTAGTATATATACACGGCCGTTTCGCGCTTGCACTTGGCTTCGCGACACTACCGTGTCGCTTGATTAAATTTGCAATCGTTCATAATGCAGCGGTAACATCTGAATCCAACATTCAAGAGCTGGCGACCAAGTGATTATACATTACATGCTTGATCGATTATGATTAATGCAACTTCACTTGACATATGATAACAGTAAGATACACAACCGCCGTATATACGTGTGTGCGTATGTGATTTAAATTATATATCAAATAATTTATGTTTGCGAAACAGATAGTATCAGCTAGATATTTTTTTTGTTTTTGTAATGTAGTGCCTCGCTGCAATTCTGAATGTATGATGCTTGTCGCATCATGTTTCAGAAGTCAAGTTGCTTATACAGTAAAAAAAATAAAACTCTGGGTTCTCATATTGTACAGTTTGATTTGGGCTATCATTCCGTTACTTATCGTCGAAGTGCTAGTGCATTCCTTCTACGGAATGAAATTTCTTCAGACAATTTGCGATCACGATCGAGATGCCCATTCCAATAAAGGATATCTGAACTAAGAGACAACCGAATCGATACGAATCGTAACACAACAATATGACCAAGTAGGAAATCGTGGGTAGAAATTGGTGCATGTGAAAGCAGTTTTGGCACGTGTCAACTGACGGAAAATCAATATTGAAATTTGCAGTAATCTCTTCTTATGCTACGAAGATTGGTATTCTCGCTAGTATTCTATGCGTGTCAGTGATCCAAAATTATAGATGAGTCAGCAGAGATTATAAAAGGATATTATCATTAGATCGCGAAAATGTTCGAGACGACTTAGAATTATTTAAACCGTAAAATCTGGCACAATGGAGCCCAAACTCAACCTCACGAATATAACATGCAATCAGAGGATCGATATCAAGTTCTTGGATCTGTCGTACGCAGTCCGCACTAGATATTGGGGAGCAAATCCTCAAAAGGCTGAGCGGATTCTTTCGATCTGCCGAACTGACGGCTATTATTGGACCGTCCGGTGCCGGCAAAACAATGTTGCTGAACATCTTGAGTGGAAAGAAGCTTTCAGGAAGGCTACGGGGACGGTGGAGTACTTCAAACAAGGTAACAAGCAGAATCAGCATAGTTGCAAAAAACAGCTGTGCTACATTCAGTAGACAACCCATCTGCACGACTACTTCACCATCAATGAGGTCATGATGATTGCGAGTTATCTAAAAATTGATCGGAGTATCTCGCGTAAGTCAAGGCAGATGCTGATAAACGATATCTTGAACACACTGACGTTATTGCACGTCAAAGAGAGACGAATTGGCCGACTGAGCGGTGGTGAGAAAAAAAGGTTGAGCATCGCCTTGGAGCTGATTGATAATCCACTGTTCATGCTGTTAGCCGAACCGACCACCGGTCTGGATTCTTCGGTTTCTGTGCAGTGCGTAACCGCGTTGAAAAAACTGGCGCAAACCGGCAGAACAATAATCTGCACCATACATCAACCCAGCGCAATGCTTTATGAGATGTTCGATCACATCTATCTGGTGGTGGACGGTCACTGCATGTATCGCTCGCCACCAGGCGATACGATTAACTACTTTGCTCGGCAAGGTCTCCAGTGTCCAAAGTATCACAAGTCCGCGGACTACATGCTGGAAGTGGTGTCCAAGGAGTATGGTAATTACGACGAACAGTTGATCGCGACAAGCAAGTTGCTTGAGTCGAATGACGAGGTATGTTCGTCGAAATCGTTACGCAACATGACCCAGAAGATATCTTACGCTGATGAAGCACATTCTCAAAAGCCTAAGCGGAATCTTCCGATCCGCCGCACAATGGCAAATTTTCACGATCCTGGCCAAAACCTTTCAGAATTGTGCAAAGACAGGAAAGTAGCTAAAAATGGTAAGGGTAAGCAACAAATAATTTTGACTTAACGTCAAAAGTGAATTTGTATATCAATTTTTTTATTTCCATAGGAAGCACTTCAGTATACCCACTAATTTTCTTCACATATTCCAGAAAGTAATAAGTCCGTGCTTCAAAATTAGTCGAAGGAAAAGAGAAAATTTCTTTTTCATCATTTCCCTTCTTTTTAAAATTATATGATTAGATTGCGAATCTGAAATAAATTTGAATAAATAATTTTGACACCCGGTTTTTATACAAAG